ACGTCTTGGGCTTACTCTTTACCAACGAAGTAGTGGATTGACCGTCATATTACTAACCGCCCCACGGACGTAGAAAGGGCGAGCTAGTGGTTGGTGGACGGGATGCGAACCCGCAGATTGCGAGTCGAGCGTCTTAACCACCTGGCCATGCCGGGCCTACTCGGAACGAAACCAATGTGTTAAGATAAAATTAATGCAATAGCATAAGTAACTTGTACACATATTTCTATTTATGGTATAAACTAGGTATTTCCTAACAGTTAACCAGACGATAATATCTTATTATGTATACGTAAGTTAATAGATTCTGCGTCATTTTTTCTCTAGCTGCATCAATATATAAATTCAGCCAAATAATGATCTTGTTAAAAGTTTCCCGCTAACTTTAAGTGATAACGGTCAAATTGATTTACCAAGAAGAAAATAAATAATCACTCAAGTTTTAAGTTGAAAAGTTATGGGACAAGCATGGCCAGTGTTGGATCTAGAATTTTGAAAAGGGGAATGTACAATATTTAAAATTAGATTCGACTCGAAGCATGTCCGATATGCATTATATTACCAAAAAGTGATACTTCCCCGTAAAATTTAAAAATAAGTGGTGTCTTTAGGATAAATTTTACAACTTTCTGAAGCTTAATCCACATTTTCGCAAAGTCAATTGATTTTTTAAAGGCAAATATAATTTTTACCTTCGAACAGTCAAACGATGTTTTTTTTATTTTTTCTTATTATATTGTGAATAATGATACATTTATAGATACACAAACTTCCACAGAAACCACTGAAGGTTATAAAAAAAAAAAACAACAACAATAACACAGTTTGCTTCATTTACCTCCTTCACGCCAGCTCCTAAAATACTGAGAGTGAGAGCACATTTGCACTTCAAAAATTGCTGGTTCGCTGAATTTCAGAAATAATTGCTAACAGCATTGTGTTTCAGTCCATTTAGAGAACTGACAGCATAACAACAATGTTTTTAGGGATTGAAAAGAATTCACAACACACACCCGATGGTAATTTCTCGATCAATCTTCTTTGTTTTTATAGCGCAGAGCTACACAGTAGGCTATCTACTCTCTGTCTACCACGGTGAATCGAACCACGGATTTTAGAGTTGTAAATAAGTAAACTGAGCGCTGAGTCACTAGAGGACCGATCTAACTTGCAAGTAAAGTATATATAAAGAATGCACAGATTATTTATGATTATGAATACAGGAGCAACTGTATTGACTGGAGTTCATTTGCCGTTTGTGTCGCCTTATCAATTAGGAATGGAGATTTTATTTCATGTTGAATTACCTATTCTCACATTATTAGGTTGCATAAATGTATGTTTTGATACAATAATTAAGGTAAATTCCTCAATAGCAACTCCTATTACTTGTAGAACTTTCGAGAATATTTAATTAATGAAAAATCGAGTATTTTTACACATGAATAGATTAGTTTCTATTTCAACGTTGTGTTTTTACAGTGAAGCCTGTGTAGACTAATTGCAGTGTCCATTGTGGGAAATCGAACTCCAGGTTTTAGCGTTGCAAGTCCATAAACTTACTGCTGTCCCACCTGGAGACGTGTTTTTATTTTATTACATATACATTTGAATACATATGTTTGAGCGACACCTATCCTCACGGTTATGAATTACGTAATATTATGAACACTAATCTCAAACCCAGCACGAACTTTTTTTTTAAATAGGCCAGGAAAACTAGTTTAACTATTTCGAAAAACAACTTCTTCCAAAACATTAACGTTTCTTACTTATTTTATTTATTCTGGACTACTACACGAACAAGACGTTTTACATCCTGATTAACTACAAGTTCAATATTGTTAAATATTACACAAATTTTACGAAACTCCTTAACGTCAATAATAATTCAAATTGCATGTAAGGTACGACAATCTTCAAAATAAACGGGCTGGCCTATTCTGAAAGGGAATTCCCACATAGCAGAACGGGGAAAGTACCTTCGACAAAGTATTAAATAAGTTGTGCAAACTTTAGGATGTTTATTCAGAGTGCATTCGTTGCAGACAGTTCGATAACTATTGATGTCCCAAGCAAGTATATTTGAACTATTGTTACTAGTTTATTGTAATTTGACAACATATTTTAACTTAAAACTAATATATATATATGTATCCTTTTGTAAAAAAGTATTTCCTTTAGATTTAGCTCTCGAATTCTCTCTGTCAAATGTGTTGGTCACACATACCTGTTGTGTTGATTTATATATTGACGTTTAGTTATGAGAAATAACTCAAGTTAAAAATTATGTTTAGTTTCTGTTAAGAGATTAAACATAAGTTTCTTTTTATTTCATTTTAAATTATATATATATATTTGCATATTGTTAGGTTCATGAACTTATATTTTAATACGATAATTAAGTTGAATATCAGAACAGAAGTTTTCTTAGTGCGAACTATGCAACAGATTATCTGCATTCTGTCCACCGCGGGGAATTCAACCCCGAATATTTGCATCACAAGTTCGTAAACTTACTGTTGACCCACCGGTAGACCGTAAACAGAGGCATCTACTGTTACCTGGGAGAATATTTAACTAAAGGAATGAACATTCTATAATCCTAGAGTATTTTTACATATGAGGTTTTTGAGAGTGAAATGTATTGTTTAGGGCGTAACTCTGTGGGGCATATGTGAATTTCGGAGCTGGCGAACAATGTTGGAATCCGTACGAAACTACTAAGTATTCCTTGCACTTTAAAGCTGTGGGTGTGCTATAAGATTGACACTCAATCCCTTAGTGTGGATGCTGATGGCTGTCTGCTTTCCCTTGACCCCCAGTGGCATGTCTGCGGACTTATAACGCTAGAAACTGGGATTCGATATCCGTGGTGGGCAGAGCACAGATAGCCCATTGTGTAGCATTTGCTTAATTACAAATAAACAAAAGCCTTCCGTTTGGCCAGTAATCCAAAATAAGGGACAGCAGCAAATAATGAAATATATATATATATTTTGAGGCGAAAGAATGGCAATAAAAATTCAAAAACACGAAACATATACAAGAAAGATTGTTTGGTTTGAATTTCGTGCAAAGCTACACGAGGTCTATTTGCACTAGCCATCCCTAATTTAGCAGTGTAAGACTAGAGGGATGGCAGCCAAGGCACCCACCACAAGTCTTGGACTACTCTTTTGCCAAAGAATAGTGGGATTGACCGTAACATTATAATACCCCCACAGCTGAAAGGGCGAGCATATTTGGTGTAATGGTGATTCGAATCCGCGACCCTTAGATTGCGAGTCAAGTGCCCTAACCACCTGGCCATGCAAGAAAGACTAGGTAATCTAGACATTTATATTTTTTGTCTAAAATAAGTTAACTTTTTTTTTCAAGTTTATAGACTGTATATATATATATATATATATATATATATACA